GGGCTTCAGAGGGGAGGAAGTGTGTACTGACTGGTCCGTGGGTGGGCCCAGGAGAAACATCGTAAGTTCTCACTCTGGTCTGCGGAACTGGCAGCCCAGCCCCCAGGCTTCAGTTCATCCACAGCTTGAAAGTAGGACTTTACTGGGGACTCACCCCTTTCTGCCCTGGAGCATGTTTACCTCCTACCACCATCAACCTGCCATTCATGGTGCCCATGGCACTCAGAGGGCGCCTGTAGACCCTCACTGAACTGCCCTCAGCACTCCCTCAGCCCTTCTCCCGTGCTTGTGGGTGCTCAAAGCCTGGAGGGGGCTGAGGCAGCAGGGGGCTGGCATGTCAGCACTGCCCCAAGTGCATGCACACTCAGTTGGGTTGTGACAGTGCCCGAACTGAGCCACAACTTTGCTCCGAGATCGGAGTGGGCATCAGGAGTCGGGGAGAGGCCAGGCAGTGGGAGCAGTCACTTCTGAGCCTGTAGAGGCAGGTGGTCTTGCTGGGCCCCCAAGAGCACAGGGATGCCTGGGTCCAAAGCCGTGACTGGGCAGCTGCACCTGTGCCCTTTGGGTGGGGCTACCACCTGCCAACTCAGACGCAGGCAGCTTCCACCTTTTCCCAGCTTCCACCGGCTCCATGGAGTGCAGATCCCTGGTCACGCCTCCCCTGCTACAGCTGGCGTCTTCACAGCAGCTGCTCCAGATGGTCTGCTGCTGCAATCACTAACATTAAATAGATCCACCAAATCTCTTTTCGGGAGGTATTTAGAATTACAGCATTCCATTTCTCCTTAAAGCCTGTTATGAGCCATTGACATTTTAAGGCTTATACAGAAACAAATGCATTTCTGAAGGAGGAGGAAATGGGACAGAAGTAACATGTATTAAATTTTGATTCTTATGTGCCATGTAGTGGTGTCTTATTTAATCCTTGTGACAATTTATTATATGGGCATTATTAATATGATTTTACAAACTCAGATTTGTTAAATATTTTTTCCCAAGAATACAGAATTCGTAAGTGCAATTTAAGTTCGAATCTAGCCCAAGACCATATCCTCTACTCCGAAATTTCACTGTGTCCCTAAAAGCTAAATAAACCTTTCAGGGTGGGAGGGATGTGTGTAAAGATAACATCAAGAGAGGAATGATCTCACTCTACACTGAAATAGTTTTAACGTAAAGAAAACACTATAAAATAAGAAAATAAGGGAACACAACTTATAAAGAAACTGAAGCAGTAATACATTTGAGTAGAAAATCTGCTTTTAATAGAAACTTCAACTTGATTTAGTTATATTTACAGTGTTCCAAATTATTATCTACAAGCAAAGTCATCCAGAAAATTAAGGGAGCCATATATGATAAACATAACAATTAGAATTTTGACAGAATAAAATAAATAGCATCTAGTAATTACATTAAGTATGTTTTCAATCCCATGGTAAGCTATTAAAAGTACAACAACTGCTCAAAGCATGCTGCCAAATTTCTTCAAAATGACTTGTTTTGAAATGTTGACTAAGTATCTCAAAACTGTATATCATCTTTAGTATAATTAAACATTCTTCAGACCAAAAACATAGCTTTTCCTTGTGTTCTTAGACATAAATTATATGTGACTTTCTCTTCCATATTAGGACACACAGGATTATCCATTTTAAAACTTTAAAAAAGTTTTTTAAGCTTCTACCACTTATATAAGGCTTTATAGTTTATACATCGCTTCTACCTAATTATAAAAAATTAGCCTATTAAGAAAAGTTTAATCTTAAAATCCCTATTTTTCATTGTAAATGTTCAACAAATACTTAATAGATGTTTATGCATTCATAATTTTTTTACTTAACAAATATTTAGTGAATCAACTTCATGAATGAATAAATGAATAAATGTAGTTCAAATTGGCTACGTAACTTTTAAAGATCACTTGAGTAGTGGCCACACCTAAGTCTCTGTCTTCTGTTTATTCAGGGAGGTCATAACCTCTAGAAACACAGATACATGCATGTAATAAGTGGTTTGTTGATATCTGATAGAAAACAGGATGTGTTCAATGACATATCATATGTTCAATGTGCTGTTCTTCTGTAGTAAACATAGTTCATCAGAGTTGCAATGAACATGGTGCATCAACATAGAATTCACTTTAATCCCAACACGTGCTTTGTCGTGCATTGCCTTAGGAGATTTGTTTTGCTATTTCTCTCTGAAAAAACTTGTAGCATATGGCGTTATCCTCAAGAAGAAATAGTGTTCTAATCCATAATATTATGTTTATTTTCAGAGTTGATGGCCACTCTCTTATTTGTTGTTTCCCCCATCAAAGCTCATTTCTTACATTCACACAAGTATAGGAAATAATGGGTTATCCCCAGTATAGGGGAGTCCTACTTCAAAAGAGAAGGAAGCAGTACCAGGCTGAATGCCTAAGTAATTTCCATGCAAGAAAAGCCTTATGACAAAGTTTATTTCAGAAACTTGAAATCAGTTAATTCTGTTTTTTGATTCTCTGTTATCCTTGGCCACCCTCCTTTGCCCCATGCTCATCAAAATAAAGTCTTAGCCTGCACTTGTATTGTTGAATATTTTCCAGATCTTTGCACCATGCTCTATGGGACTGGAACTTGATTGGCAAATTGATTGTTCTTCGGTGGTATTAAAATAATACTTTATATGTTTTTTTTTAAGTCTTATTTGAAATGAGTTCCTCCTAGAAAACACTGGGTCCCTGTTAGCCTCCACCAGAGGAAGCTGTTGCTTCTTTCCATTGCCCTGTGCCAAGCACCATGAGATAGCATCAACATTCTACCTGAAATTCTTTTTTAAAGGCTCCTACCATTTATTGTTGTTCTGTTCTCGTCCTGGTCACTATAGTCTTACCAATCACTTTTCTTCATTCCTGTGAGATGCTTACATCTGGCTCACTGTTTTCCTCCCTACCACAACTATTTTCATCAGAAAATTTTAATTCCTACTTGGGTGACTTACCCAATATCCTGCCATTATAATTCCTTGCTTCTCAAATCTAGTTATTCTCCGTAGGCTGTATATATATTTTTTCTTATCAAATGTGAAATAGCATCCAACTCTAAAGTCTTACATTACTGTAATCTGCTATCTGTCACAAACCTCCTTACCTTAAAATTCCTCATTTTCTACTAATCTTGCACTTCAGTCTTGTTTTGGTACCCAGACACTTGATTACTCATCTATCTCCAAGTGTGTAAGACCACAGCTAGTTTCATCCTTCACTCTAAGGTCTGTGCTACGCCGAAACAGTGATGCTCAAAGTGGAGTTCTCAAACCAGCAGTATCAGTATCAACATCTCTTGTTAATCAGTAGAAGCACAGTTTCTTTGGGCTCCATCCCAGACCTACTGAATCAGAAACTCTGATATTGGAGCCCAGCAACCTGTGTTTTAAAAAGCCCTGTGGCTGATTCTTATCCACTCTAAAATTTAAGAACCACTAATACAGAGCATGAATTCAACCACTCCCTTGCCAGCACCTTTAACACCTTTGGGTGGCAAAGAACACTCGAACATAAATAGATCATTATTTTATTTCAAACCCTCCCATGTATAAGATTTCTAACAATTCACCAAGTTCTCCAGCTGTATCCAGCATCTACCTTTTATATACAACCTCTACCTTCAATCCAAATATTTTTTTAGTTCCTATTCATCTAAATTTTAATACTGAAAAATGTTAAATGCCCATTACTTGCTCCTTCCAAAGGTGTTTTGCTTAGAACCATCCTCTGTGAAGGATGCTGAGTGATGCTAACTTCCTCGAGGTGACATATATAGGAAAGGGTGAAGATAAAATTTAAACTCGGGTCTAGCTGAATATAAAATCCAAGCTTTTTTTCCATTTTGCTGCAGAATGTATGAAATGACAACCAAATCAATAAGCCATTTCATTCTAGTTGAAGTAGCACTTAACTAATGAATGCTTCATAGGATTTTTAAAAGTGAGTGTTCTATAAAAATCTGTTATAAAATAACTTTGGTAAATATCAGGTTAAATCATTTTCCTTAGTGTAGGACTTCTACGAATCTTTAATGTGCTGTTGTATATTTTGATCCTTAAAAAATCAGATATAGTATGATGTTGTCCAAAATTATTTGACCAATAACCATTTGTTTGTGAATCTTCTAGATTAACATCTTGTAGGGCTAGTGTTCCAAGAGATGCTGTGGAAGATTTGAACTTCATCTATTTCCATTCTTTTCCAGACAGGTGGAATTGCTTATCTTTGTTATTTCATCTGCTTTCACCCTCTGTTTTATTTTGCCACTCTTTTGAACTAAAATAGTCAAGCCCCATTTCCCCACTAGGCACTACTTTTTCCTTCCTTCAAAGATAGTCTTACATTCTTCTGCCTCAGGGCTGGGTTCAGAGGAATCACATTTAGCCTATAATGCTATGAACCAGACAATATAGTGTGTTTGCATATATATGTGTATACATATACACATACACATATACACATACACAGACACACACACATATATATACTACCTCATGAAATCATATAGCTTGATAATATGATAGTAATTTATAATTTTGTAGCATCACAATAAGTAGCACGTACCTTCCTGGGGCTGAATAAGCTGTGTTAGGGGAGCAGTCTGCAGAGCAGACCATGGCTTTCCTGCCTAACCCACGCTGGGCATCACAATTATGACTGCAATTCTTATGGGATCTTCACACAGACTATATGCATATCCAGAACACTACCTGGAGGGGCATTTTGCCTTAGATTTTATTGGAAAAATTACCAGAGGTTTAAGTGGAAAATGACTGAATAATGGAATGAGGGTATACACACTACTAAGCAGTTAAAATTTAGAATTGCAGGACACTACATACTATAAATATAGTTTTGATATTAATTTCAATTAATCTTCACTAGAAATTGGTTAAAGGGCTAGGGAATGGTATTTAATCGATGATTTTTTCTGGCCTGGCATATTATCTCTGTTTCTTTCGTTGTGCAGGTTCCGCAGATCTTCTTCTTTGCGTTCCATGCTCTTCTTGTCCTACACTGGTCTACTCTGGTATGTTTGCTCAGGGCACTTAATATCAATGTCAGGTAATGATGGGTACCTTCTAAAACTGCTCAGGATTTGTATTAAAAAAAAAATACATAGTCCTCATGACCTCTAATGAGAATAGGATTTTCTCCAAGTAACTGCATAAGATTATAAGATTTCCTGAGAGAGAGAGACTGTGTGTGTGTGTGTGTGTGTGTGTGTGTGTTTCTGTGTGTGTGTGTGTGTATGTGTTCTATAGGTTTTGGAGTTCTCATTTAGTCTGCATTCTCCCTTGCTAAGGTGGGAGGATGGGGATTTTAAACCCTTTCTCCTCGGCAGGAAAAAATAGTATCTTCTAGATATATATGGGCTGAAAAACATATTCTCCCACATACAGGCCATGGACTCTATGATGCTATTATATATCCCCTGCAGTTATAGGATCTCAGAACAATTTCATGTCCATGAATGTGAGGCTATTTTATGAACTGGATATACAAAGATAAAAAATAAATCACTTTGTCATCTCTTAAGTATTTTCCAGAGAAAAGCAAAGGTGTTGAGCTTGTCCTTATCTCTCATATAATCACAGAATATCAAACTGGAAAGAATTTAGAACCAACCACTCCTTCCCTAACTAATGCTCGCCTTTTCTCTGCAGTAACCCTGCCAGTACCCCTGCCAGTACCCCTGCAGTACCCAGACTCTACATAAACACCTTGAGTAATAGGGAGTTTACTGTTACCCTTGTCTGCTTGTTTAATTTTGCTCTGCTGTAATTGCTCTTGACTCAATAATTCTGCATTAGGGCATTACCTGAATAAATGATTTCTTCAATGTACTATGATATAGCTATCAGAATATTACGTTCATTGCCATATGTTTTATAATAAAGCATGAAACATGTTTTACAAGAAAACATGGAAAGCATGTAAAAAATAGAAACAACTTAATAACCAAAAAAAGAGATTGATTAGAAAAATTATAGCAATCTGTACATTAGAAAGCTATGAATTCATTATGAAGGATGAGATATATATTAAGGATATAGGTACAGAACTATCATGTGGTTCTCTTCCTCAGCCCGTCAAGTGCACTTTGTATGATATACAGGCATACTGCTGTTCAGTTCAAGAGCTCTAACCAAGTAAATTGTCACTCATGTGATTCATATTTAAAACCTATAATAGATCAGTAACTACTGTCAGAGAATAGCACATGTCATTATCATGGGTGATACAGCACCAATCATAGGTTTTCTCATCATGGAACTTACTAAATTGTGGAGAAGACACACAGTGAACAGCTATTTATAGAAAAATGCTGCTGATGGTGATTATAGAAGTATGAGGATAAGTATGCACATCAGGAGAGTTCTGTCTTGACTAGTAGTCAAAGGGTCAAGAGAAAGTAATGTCTAAGGGTGAGGCCTAAAGGAAAGAAAGATGCAGTTGATAAAAGAGTTAGCTGGGGTTGGTTGGAATAAGTAAAGCATTCCAGATAAACAAAAAGTGTGTGCAAAAACAACCAGACTCTCCCTCTCTTTCTCTTCCTCTCTAACTTTTCTCCCTCTCTTGCATCAAATAAATATTTACTGAGCAAATGCCACACCCAAAGCATTATTTCAGGTCCTGTCAGTAAGATGGAGATTGAAGGTCTTCCTTCAAAATGTTTATGGTCTACACTGGCGAATCAAAAACATTAAATATAACTATGACACAAAGCAGAAAAATCATGTAAAATATTCTAGAAACATGACTATTTCCCTTGCCATTTGTATTAGTCTGTTTTCACACTGCTATAAAGGCATACCCGAGACTGGGTAATTTATAAAGAAAAGAGATTTAAGTGCCTCACAGTTCAGCATGGCTGGGAGGCCTCAGGAAACTTACAATCATGGCAGAAGGCAAAAGGGAGGCAAGGCACCTTCTTCACAAGGCAGCAGGAAGGAGAAGTGCCAAGTGAATGGGGAGGAACCCCTTATAAAACCATCAGATCTCGTGAGAACTCACTATCTCAAGAACAGCATGGGGGAAATCGTACCCATGATTCAATTACCTCCACCTGGCATCTCCCTTGAGATTATGGGGATTGTAATTCAACACGAGATTCGGGTGAGGACACAAAGCCTAGCCATATCACCATCTAATGTGATTAGAATTTTATACAGATATCAGAAATTGATATATAGGCTGCAAATATGATTAATAGAGGTAGTATTCTAATGTCAATATCCTTGTAAAAGTTCATTGCAATAGAGGAAAGCATTAAAATCGCAATTTTTCTTTTTTAATATGCTATAATGTAAACATGTTATTAAGCACATTTTCTTCTGTCTCATTTCTCCTCTGCAGGTTTGTGAAACAGACAGAAGAAGTTGCAAGTGGTCCTTAAAGAAATTGCAGTTATTCAAATCCTTATGTATAGTTCTAATTTTATTTACTATGTGTAATCATTTAGAGAATGGTTATTTTTATAATCTCAATAATAAACAAGTACTATTGTAACCAGGGGGTGCCCAAGTATGTAATCAGAGAACACTAATCCTGGCAAAGGATTGTGAGGTGGTCAGGAGGCCAGCTGCCTTTTGACATGGTTAGTGTCCTGGATTTAGATTACTTTATACATAGTTATTAAGATTAATATTTGATATATTAAATATTGCCTGATTCAAATAACTTTGCTTAAAACTTTTCTGTATTTTAACTTGTCTAGGGTTTTCTACTTCTTCTATTTTTATAATATTTTCTCATTTTTTAGATTACTAAACATTATACTTATCCACATGTGCCAAGATGTGCCATTTAGGTCTCTGCAGAAGTCAGCTGTTTGGTATCATCACCTGCCATATATGTTGTGTGCAGCAGCAGTAAGAAGTATATGCTCCGCCACTGCTCTTTCTCATGATTATTTTCTCCATTCCTATTAAAACGAATAATTGTTATGTTAATTCAATAAAGCAAACCAATAAGGAATGAAATGCATGGCCCAAAACATAGAAAATGAAAATCGTTTGACCATTTATGCAATTATTGAATCCAATTAAGATGATCCATTTTAAATTTAATATATGCTCGCTTTTGGAATGTGTTATGCATTGATGCTAAGTGAATGGATCTAAGTAAATCTATTGATATCTCTACTGTCTGTTTTATTTTATTTGTCTTAATCTAAGTTTGCTTTCTGTTCTTTTATGCTTTAAAGTAATTTAAGCTTTCATAAACTTAAATTACAAAACTATGTAACAAGGAACTATATCAAGGAAACAAATGTTAAAGGCCAGAACATGGATAAAGAATATTTAAAAATTCAGATTGTATAAATTAAGTCAATTCCCTAAATCAAATAATGTAACAATCTTTCTTATATTAACATTTTCTTGGGTATAGAAACTCATGTGACACATTTTTATAAAAGTGTTATGTTTTATAGGTAGAAAAAAAGGAAGTTTTAGAAACAGTAAATTTTTTAATCAGAAAGGAGAGAAGGCAGGAAAGTAAGTTTAGGGGACCAGAACATTCTTCTATTTAAAACTCCTTGCCATGAGGAATATTTCTTCAAAAATGTTTAACTGAGGATCCAAATGCTTTTTCTATTAGAAATATTCTTTCTTTAAAATATGTCACCCCTAATGCTTTCATCTGAGCTGCACTTTCCTCCAACCACTGCCTGGTTGGTTTTCATCCTCCTCTTGCTCACTGAGCTTCTCCTGGGAATAGTCATCCTACTAAGTGCCTCATCAGCCTCAAGAGTCAGATCCCCCAGGATATCAGAATGTGTATTGCTGAAGGTGCTGTCAAAGATAAAGAAAACCAGGCACAAGGGAAGTGGTAAAGACAAATTTTAGACAGAGTCTTGCTTTGTCGCCCAGACTGGAATGCAGTGGCCGGATCTCAGCTCACTGCAAGCTCCGCCTCCCGGGTTCACGCCATTCTCCTGCCTCAGCCTCCCGAGTAGCTGGGACTACAGACGCCCGCCACCTCGCCCGGCTAGGTTTTTTGTATTTTTTAGTAGAGACGGGGTTTCACCGTGTTAGCCAGGATGGTCTCGATCTCCTGACCTTGTGATCCGCCCGTCTCGGCCTCCCAAAGTGCTGGGATTACAGGCTTGAACCACCGCGCCCGGCCGACAAATTTTCATTAGTCATAAACTATTGCAATAGAGAAGTAGGTCCAGTGTGAACTGAACTGAACTATGATTTGTGCAGAGGTGGCTAGGACTCATAGAGGAAGGATGAGGAGCTGGGGATGGGGAACAGCAGGGACTGGAGCAGAATCAGGGAAGTGGACGTTTACAAAATGTGAGAGAGTGGGGTTGGTCCACGTGGAGCTATCTGGGTTTGCAAACTGGCGTTTATCAAAGTTAGATTCCTACCCTCCCTCTGAGACTGGGAGACAGGGACCCTATTCAGGAGTTGGCTGGAGCTGGTACAAAACAGTAAATTGTTTTGCAGCCCTGAGCTTTCTGTCAGGAACTTATGGCACTGGAGTCATCATCCTAAGGATATGCCCTTGAGCTGTTAGAAACCATGTTAGTATTTGTTCACGTCTTTGAATGTGGGGGATGGGGGTGGATGAAATTGCTTATGCTGACATTTTGAGGTTTTAGGCCAAGGTTGAGGGTTAGTTGAGAAGAGGACTCAGAGGAGCTTGGCTGGTGTTTAGTCAGGGAGAAAATCTTCATCAACGGCTATGAGGCAGGACACACATGTGCACACACACACACACACACACACACACACCCCGATCTCTGCTCTCTTTTCTTTGTCAATGCCTTTAACCATTTCCAGAGGCCAAGGCCCAGAGATCAAGGTCAGTGAAGAGCTAAATACCAAATCAGGAAATTTCTCCAGGTTGCTTCTCAATCTTTGTTTCAAATGTCACACATGAAACCTGAATCTCTTGGCACCCCTCTTGGCTCCTGTTACTCTTTTTGCCTCTTTTAGGTTTCTTAACATAGCTCCAGAGTTACTGTAATGATGAGACTTGAAAAACCTGCACTAAAAGGGCTTCTCAAAATGCTCCTCTGATTCCATACTTCAGTATCACTGCCGTGAACAGATGACTTTGGGCCCCATGTTATGCTATGGCCTCTGTGTGTCCCTGGAGCTGGCTGAGGTAACTTCTGACCTTCTGGACCTGGAGGCCATCACAGCCTAGTAGGGGAAACACACATATGAGCGTATAATTTAAATAACATGTTGGAGTGTGCAATGACAGAGACATTTACAGGCCACACTACTGTGGGAGCATAAAAGAACAGTTGTGAATACATCTGAGACCTGGACTTGGAAGTAAGTTGTGGGGTGTGTAGGAAGTCAAAGAAGGCTTCCTGGAAGAGGTGATGCCTCAGCAAGTCCTTTAAAGATGAGAAAGTCAATGGAGCAATGAAGGTAGGTAGGAGGGTCTTAGTGGGAGCAACAGAATAAATCCAGTACAGATGTCTGAGTGGCCAGAGTGTGCATAGCAATGAGTGCAATAGATGCATGATATTTATTACTAGTGCAGATAGAGTGTGATATGATATGGTAGTTGATAGGTAGAGAAATGAGCAGAGATTGGGATGAGAAAATTCTCATATGCCACCCTGTAGTCTTCAACTCTGGCTGTTCAGCAGAATCCCAGATGCTCAGGCCCCACTCTCTGGGACTGAGAATTCAGTTGGACTGAGAGGGATGCCAATCATTCATATTTATGAAAAAGCTTCTCACTTCATTCTAACGAATAGCCAAGCATGAGAGCCATAGCTGAAGAGAGCTACCAAAGATTTTCAGCAGGGAAGAGGAGAGTGACACTATTGGACAAACAGTTAGATGAGCTCACCTTAGTAGCTGCAAGTAAAAATGCAGTAGTAGGTGAAACAGGAAATGGGCAAGCCTAGAAATAGGCAAGCCTGGAAATGGGGAAACTAGTTAGGAGGCTGTTGCAAGAGTTAACATAACACAATGAAGGTCTATTTAGGTTTTTATTAGGGCAAACGATAGTAAAGGTCTAATGGTTGTTGGGATATTCCAGAAACAGGGAGCAGATAGAACCAACACCTATTTAAGGGTGGTTCTTGTGGAACTGGTGCACATAGAAGGGAAGGGTAAGGTAGTTTTCAAGAGTGCCTCTTGGGTCTATGGCTTGGGACTGGGAGTGGCAATAGGACAACAGAAAAAAAAAAAAAGAGATTTGGTGCCGGAGATGTTAACTTCCATGTAGGTATGTTGAGATGGAGCTACCTAGAGGACATTTGATCTAAAATGTTCAGCAAATATGGGGGCCAAAGTGCAATGCTGAAGATACAGACATGTAATTCATACACATATATGTGTTTGTGAAAATGATGAAATTATGCACATTGCCTGAGGAGAGCCTATGGCTTTAATAGATCTAGCCTTTCTAAGGAATACCTAGGTTTAGAGGTCAGGCAAAAAGAAATGGCAGAAAAGAGCCAACAGAAACATCTCCAGAAAAATAGAAAAAAGAGAGAAGATGTCACAGCTAGGAAGACAATAGAAAATCATGATTTTATGCTCTTTTCATAGAAATTTTCCCAGTTAGATTCAAATCTCCATCTGACACCGTATGCACTATATTCTTCCTAAAATATACTCCTATAAAAAAAGTGGCTTATTCTTCCTTTAGCTGGAAGGCCAAGAAAATGTTCATCTTGGATGGCGCCTCTAGGAATGAGACAAGCAGGAACCGTGACTATCCTTGTATGATATCAGTACCAGGGTACACCCAGACAGAGAAAAGAGAAAGGTCTTGTGAACTGACTATTGCTCTTCATTTCCTTAGAAAGAGGGGATATCTCATCCACAGAATGTCAGATCCCCCACCCTGCTTCATATAACACTTACTCAACAAATACTGACTGATCAGCCACTATGTGTCTACTATTGTATTAGATTCTGGGGATCCAGCAGTAGTAGGACATACACAGTCCTTGCATTCATGGAGCTAGGTGGCTAGTGTGGGGACAACACTGACAGTCAGTTACAGCAAATCTTAAGAACAAAAGACAGGATGCTGAGGACCCACACCTGAGGACCATCTAATCTGCTTTGCAGATAAAGAATCTTGGGCTTTGGTTACCCTGTTCAATCTAAAGAATAAGGTTTATTTAGGTGAAATTCATGAAGATTGAGGAGGCTTGGGAATAGGTTCGAAGAAAGGAGGTGAAGAATATTTTGAGAGAACAGCCTATATCGAGATTCAGTTACATAGATGAGCATGGCATATCAGCTGAAATGAACATTTGAATATGGTTGGAACACAGGGAGATGCACGCTGTTGCCAAATAATGTAGTGGGAAGTTAGTAGCAGCCAAACCATAAAGGCTGTTAAAAGATATATTACATTCAGAGGGTAAGAGAAACACATGGATGTTTTAAGCAAGTAAATAGCAGGAACTGCATTTTAGAAAGACAATTCTTGGCTCCACGGTGGAAAATGAATCGTAAAGGAACAAAACTAGAGGCAGGGTGAATGGCTAGCGTACTCTTACAGTAATCAACATTGGAGATGCAGAACTGCATAAATAGAGAAATTTAGACAGTGAATTGATTAAAGATGGGAGGGAGGAGTCACAGATAATGGTGAGATTTCTGGCCAGGACACCTGGCAGTGAAATCTGTTTAGAATGAGGAGAAAATGTTGAGTTCATTTGGGGACATTTCAAATTTAAAGAGATTGGAGCCATATCCAAGATTCTAAATGTCATCAACATAAAGACAGTCAAACAGTGCATAATAGAAATCAAGGCAATAGATAACATCACCCAATGAGAGTCTGCAGTGAAAAGAGATGTCTCCGGAACATATCGGCACTTAAGAGACCGAAAAAGTGCTTTCTAGAGTAAAGATTTTATGCACACTTGATAGAGTGGGTGGCCCACACACTGTTTCTAGGAAGCAGAAGGTCAAAATCCTTGCACTTTGAGGTCCCCGGTTCCTGTAAGCACAGCTGGATTTCAGGGGAAAGACAGGCATGTTAATTTGTTCAACAACCTTTAGTAGTCTGGTTTAATGAGGCTGTAGAAATTTCCTGTGGGTGGATGAAATTTAAAAAACAACTCTACGTGAGTAGGAGAGGGGGATGTAAAGAACTTAGAATTTCCCTTATTTAGAAAGTAAAGGTAAGGAATTGTCAATTTG